GAAAGCTTAAAATGTCAGCTTTAAGATGAGACTAAGCATGTAACTGCAGCACAACTCAGGTAAAAACTATATTCAAAGATTTCAGCAGTTAATTAATTTATATGTAATTAGTTAAAGAACTCTCCCACCCGCCTCCGTTTAAAGAGCCGTCATGAACGTAAATATTCACGTAGAGAGATGACAGTGATACCATTGGAAAGAGGAGAATTCCAGCTTTAAGATGAGTATAAAAACCGGAAAACGACATAATTGAAAATTTTAGGGTAGCCGGTCCCCTTAATTGACTGTTGTTGACAATTTACCTAATAATTACGTTTTTAAATATTTAAAATGGCTAAATTAAAGAAACTATGTATGTGAAAAGATGACAAAATGTGCCTATAAATTGGTTGGATGGATTTTGAACACATTTATACCTCTACTCAGGAATGCATATAAGAACCGCCGTACTTCTTTCTTATGTTGACCGCTCGAAGGTTCAGGCGATTAATTTTAATTAGCTCTGAATTTCAATATTTCACAATACGTGCTTTGCTAAAGAATTCAGTAGGAATTTGCTACTTTTGCGACTCAAACAATATAGCTAAACATTGAAACTAATTTCTGCTGCCGAGAATTTTAAATGATACGAAAATAACTCGACTAATCAACATAAATTAACATGGTCTGCAGAATTAAAGATTCGGCCTGAACAGAAGCTAAAAAACTTGTCCAGTCCACCAGTGTCTAAAAACGCCGTCAGTTCGGGCCTCAAGGGCAGTTCTTGCACTTCTTGAACTGGTTAGACTTGCATGACGTGGTACAAGGGACGCAAACCATTGCTCGAGCCTCAACAGTCGCTGAAATATTTAAAAAAGTACATAATAGAATACCATATTAACTTAAAATTAATAGCGCCTATTTTTAACTTGTTTGAACTCGTAAATGCGCCGGTTTGTTGGCATTTAAATGTTCACCATTTGCAAGGACTTTTTCTTTGATGGTGTGAATTGACTTGGTTGGACCTCAGGTTTGTTCAATTCATATTTGATAACCATGACAGTATATTTAATAACGCTCCTGTTTGATCGATAGGTGGACTAGAAATGGATAAATATTAGTAGTATTATCGCCAAATACGTGCTAATGGAACAGTGTTAGAAGCTATAAATGAATTTGTACGAAATACATTATTTAGGAACAATCCAAATCATCTGAAAATCCATTCATGAATAAATATCATATGAATAAAGAAAAAAAACATTTTTAACGAGAAATGCTTGCTCCTTGTTACACTAATTTCTAACGCTCTGTTGTCTCTGACAGGAACGTCACGGTATTAACTTTAAAGGGCCTCCAACCTATTCCAGGTAAGTCAATATCATTTATACGTAAAAAGTATTTGGCTCAGAACATTTCCAGCAAATAATTGAGCAGACCATTTCTAATAGGGCAATTTCAAGTATTTTACATCAAGAAATTAAGAATGAAGAATGTCAGATGAGCTATGAACGTTTCAGGCGATAGCAGCAAATACGCCGTGGATTACGAAAATATTCAGCCGAGCTGGTCGGACTTCTACGCCTACATCAGAGAAACCGTCGATGCTTGTCGGAATGTGGTGAATATTGCTTTGTAATTACCATCATAAAAGTTTTTACATGAAATGTGCATTGCCTGTCTGAAGCTGAATCTGGTTTTGTGGGCTTATATGATTCTTTTCATGCACGCAATAATAACTTAGAAAAAAGACTTTTTGGAGAGGGTCTGAAATGAAAAAAAGGGTTATTTGCAAAGCAGTAAATCTAATAAATGATTGCATTATCTATCAGGCGTAAATTATTGAAAAATGTTGTAATTTATAACGATTATTTCTGGTAGGCCATCTTGTTAAGTTTTGCCGGCGTTACCACTGAGAGTAATATTCTCTAGAAAATCATTGTCGTCGCCTTGCACGACTGCATGAGTGACATGTATTAGTGGCAGTTTCTTTGATTATGTCGGAAAAATTCTTGCAAATGGGAAATTTTTTTGCAAATGTCTTCATAATCTTTGAATAGAGAGTGAGAATTATTTCTTTTTGGCTTGGAAACAAATTCACTCTCTAAGGTTGTCCCCAATATTCCACCAGAAACAATTTGGCGGCCAAGACAATCATTTTATAGTGGGAACTGACGGAAATTATAAAGTGTGTCTGGACGAGGGCGTCGCGCCCACTCCAGGCTCCTGCACCGTCCTCTCCTTCGGCATCAACAATGAGTGGAGCTTTGATGACGCCATGGAGGAGTACGGCTGTGATGTAAGTTTCCAGATAATTTATTTGAGAAAACAAAGGCGGAAAATTGAACTGCTGGTGAGGCTTCAACGTGCCTATAGGTTTCAACGTCCCTGTATTTACATTTAAATTTTAAGGCTTTTCATGATGGCCAATGAGTTGTACGTTTCATTTTGGCTGTAAAGCTTCAATATGAATAATCTAACTGCAGTCAAAAGAAGCTTTAACTATGTCAAAGAGCTTCAACATTATATATAGAGAAAAAATAACCATCAGCGATTGCAATTAAATCAGAATTTTTCAACACATCAACTCTTATTCATTTTTAACTGTAGTTTACGCTACTAAGGCTATCTCGTGTAGGTTTATCCACAATATATTCAATCAAATCTATTTAAAATGGCATCAACGTACGGTTTTCGGTGGTTTCCGGAAAATAAATGAATCATTTGCACATTAATCACTGTATGCATGGAATTGAAGTACTTATAACATTACAAAACAACTACTGTTTCAATTTAAAATTGTCCAAACGGTTTGTATGGCTGAAGTCAAGCTGTGTAGGTTTGCATGAACTTAACTTAGATTGTTTCCTCCTGCCTTAGGTGTACTCGTTCGACCCCACCATGAGCGACCCCGAGCACATCCGAGGCAAGAGGGTTCACTTCTACCCTCTGGGCCTCGGCGGTGTCACCCAAGAAGTCGATATTCTCCTCTCCAAGTCGATATTCTCTGCTAAATGTCAGGCGAGCTACCACCGACGTATAATACAAATGATATTATAGAGGTTTATGCATAGAGGCGTAATAAAATATCATACACTTATGATTTCTCATATAAAGGATATTACAACAAATTGAGCAATGTGAAGTGTGGTATTGACGGAATTTATGGTCGAAATGGATCTTATAATGGACGTGTAATTTAGCAGCAACGTTTTCACAGCTCTAAAATGATGATCCTGAACCTTCCCAAAAATCATATTAGACCCTAAAATGACAAGAAAAGCCTTTGAGCCTAAATAATTTTTGTTGTAAGACTAAAAAAGATTCGTTAGCGATGGAGCATGTTTTCTTACAGTACGTAAAAGTTTTGGTTACTTTGAGCCTTTTTAAAAATGTATGATATCTGAACAGTTATTTGAATCGTGTAACAAGAACTAAGCATTCGCGTTCTTGTAACTTGAACAAGAACTGTTGTCGCGTTCGTAAAAAAGTTAAAATCGTTTTACTAATCAATTAGCTTCACACTAACCACGACATCACGGCAATGATCGGTGAGACAACGAGCTCTTTAAACGTTCATTCAAATCCTAGCAACGATCGACAGGATGAGCTAGCTAATCGTCTGACCATTGATAGTGCAGGTCCTCACCTACCGCAACAAACTAGCAACGATCGCTAGGATGAGCTAGCTAATCGTTTGTTCATTGATCGTGCAGGTCCTCACCTACCGCAACATCCTAGCAACGATCGACAGGATGAGCTAGCTAATCGTTTGTTCATTGATCATGCAGGTGCTCACCTATCGTGACATCCTAGCAAAGATCGGCAAGACGAACTCAATTATCGACTACTTGAAGGTCGACATCGAGGGCTTCGAGATTGACTTCCTAGAGAACGTGCTCTACGACGATCAGGAACTACTCTTTAGAATCAAGCAGATCGGCATGGAACTACACCCAAGTGAGTTAAATTTCTCAGCTTGCTTTGTATGAACCGCTATATCAGAATTATTTATAATCGTAAGATTTCCATTGATTTTCCGCCAATAGTTGATTTGTAAGGCAAAATCAGTACATTATTGACTGGTTGCCTGTTTGGTTAAGGTCGTCCTAATTGGATCAAGGATTAAGTTTCTCAGAATTAATTCAATTATACATAGATTTATCACGATAAAATTCAATTATTTATCCTTCAAAAACACGTATAAAAAGTGAGGATACTTTATTTCTAATTGTGTGCTAAAACAATGAGTTGCCTGAGGTTTTCCCTTCATGATTTTTTTTCAGCGGTTTTCGCAAGTGAAAATACGTCGGTGAGAAAGCAGAAGTACTGGCGGCTCGTCCACAAGCTGCGAAGTTTAGGTTTCACACCGATATTCGGTGAGCCCATTCCTGTATGGCTCCTCTCATACACGTACGAAGGAAAAACAGAATCGCTTTGTTGTTATGAAATTGTATGGATTAATAACCGCTTTGTGAAGAAATGAGTTTTTATTCAAAGTTTCTAACAACACAATTTATATGAGACATTTCGTATTATTGTTATGAGCATAAGGGTAAGAATCACGAATGCAAGTCATTAGGGATGATACTAATAGAAGCATGGTACACGCAACAAAATATGTAACGGGTAATGCATAACAAGCTTGTTCAATTTCATTTTTTCATAATGCGCAATTTGCCGCGTTTAAATGAAAATGATGACTAAAGCGTATCATTTCTTTATTGTTACCTCTTCATGTGACAACCACCACTTCATAGCATGTGAACTCTCTTAAAATTACAGCAAATTTCACGATTACACTCGGGTTCTCTTATTGGCTGTGGGAGTTCAAATGAAAGCTTAACACGGCATAGGTGTCAAGACCATAAATTGCCTTATATGGCTGCAAGCAAAGCGATGTAGGATTTTAATGCGCGAGCAAAAAATAATCTAGTTGAAATGATGGTAATTCACTTTCATAAAAATCTCTCAGTCTTGATCAATTTAATAGAATGACTTTGCTGAATGCAAAATTGTCGTGTTTAGAACACACAGGAGTATTTTATTATTTTTTAAATGTCAAAAAGTTTCAGGATCAGTGTTAATTTAAGAAATTCTATACCTAATGTGAGGAAAATAAGAAAATACGAGTTATTGAAAACAATGGAATGTGTCCTGATGTATCCACAACCTTATTATAGACCTCTGCATTTTATGCTGTGCTTCTATTTCTAATATAAGCTCTTAGCAAGAAATATATTTTAGGTAACAGTAAGTAATAATAAAACTGTTGTAAGTAGCAGTATTTACCAACAAAAAATTTTTAAGTAGCTGTAAGTAACCATAAAAACTTTTGTGAGTAGCAGTGAGTAACAATAACATTTCTGGAAGTTTTTTCTTTTTGGCAGTAACTAACCATGAAAATTTTTGTAAGAAGTATGTAACAATAAGAACTTTTTAAGTCGCAGTACGTAAACATAAAAACTTCTGTAAGTAGCAGTAAGTAACAATAAGATATTTTGTACGTAGCAGTAAGTAACAATGAAAAATTTGTAAGTAGCAGTGTAGCGGGCCAGATATTGGCCTCGTTTTGTGTACTAGGTTTCAAGCCGCCGCACTCCTCGAAAGAAAACTGCCTAGAAAAATGTACAAGCGGAACTGTCTGCGGATGTAGTCTCACTCTAGTAGGCAGCGACTTTATCATTACCATTGTTGTGCCTATCTCTGCTGTATTAACGTTCTTCGTCATCTGGACCTCTCAAGTGTAATTGTATTTTGCGTTTCCAAATAATTACTGCAAATCTCTTGAGTAAACATTTACCTGAACTTCATCCTTAGTTCAGGCCAATGTTGACGTCCGCGTATATTAGTTGTTTCAATTGTCCACGAACCCTATGGACCCGCTGGCAGAGACCTTGAAAGGTTTAGATGAAGTAGTTTCCCGCTACAGCAGTAAGTAAACATAAAAACCTTTGTAATAAGCAGTGAGGAACAATAAGAACTTTTGTAAGTATCAGAACAATACTTCAAAAGAGCATCATACTTTCTTCGGTGCTTCGTTGCTATGTTGTCAATCCTATCAGAGTTGTGGCAATTACAGGATAACTATAGCCCTCAATTTCCTCATTCCCAATTCTATACGATACTCGATCGAATAAAAACATCAGACCATTATCGATAACTGACATTTTATCACCTTTGAAGTTTTAATTACTACCATTCTCTTTCGTTAAAGTCCCTTCGATGTACAGGCAACTGTCTGATGGTAGTAGAAACTGATCTTGATACTGAATAATAAACTTGCTTTCATTGCGTTCACGATTTAAATCAGTTCTAATTTGAGGCTAATAATCATGAGTTTCAACTTTATGAATTGATTCAATTCATATCCTGGGGAACATTGTATGATATCCATATCCATTCAATTGAATATCTTGAGGAAACATTGGGAAGAAATGTATACACGATATTGTTAAAATCACCATTGAGATACGACCCTTTGATTATACTGCCAATGAACAAGTATTGCATTAACAGAAATTATATTTACTATATTTGTGCTTTCATGTTCTACAACACTTTCCAACACTCCAATATCAAAGCCTAACAGAGTATGTAGACTGTTGAGTTTGCTGAAATAAATTTTCAAGTCAAGATCACGATTAGTTATCACACATTTCAGAGTATTGGTGTTCGATCTTATATCAATCGAGTACTCGTTTCCGTATGCATTTTTGATAATCTTATTGATACTCTCTATCTCATAGCATCCGGTCGGTATAGTTATAGGGATTACTATACCACGTTTCCCAACATAAAAGTTATTATTTGTCTCATCGATATTCGGGATGGAGTGACACATATCCAGTCCCACCAATACCATTCATGAAATTTGTTTGTATCCAATTTTATTGCTGGCGTGAAATTCGTGTCGTATATCACTGTTTCCACAGGTAATAACTAATTTTTGTAATTCAATTTTCTTCAACAAAAATCATTCAATAGTTTAACATCACGCTCAATAAATAAATTTGGTTTATAAAGCCAAATAACAATTGATGTCTTGCAAAAGTATCATTGACGTTAGTAGCTAAAACTATTTTTCCTGATCCTGAAACATCTGAATCAATATCTGCTCCTGATTCCGGAGCTTGATCCCTAGACGACGTGGGACATGCAGCTTTTATTCTAGTAACTTCATAAAGTTCATTTTATTTCTGCATCTTTTTATAGAGTGGTTTGATGAATTTGTTGTACTTCTCTCCTTTGTTTGCTTTTATTGTCCCATCCGGCTTGAGATGAACCTAAGTCTGTGTCAAAATCGTTAGATAATTTGCCACATAATTTTCTTCATAGTTTTCAGGGGATTGTTTTAGTAGTAGCTCCCATAACCCAACAGTTCCTGCAAAGACCTCATTACCAATCCCTAATTCATTACCTTGGATGCTGACAATTATTGTATCTCCTAGCATAACGTTTTTACCATAAAATTTCATGCCATAAGCTTTGTCATACTCAGATTCAGGTTTGAACGCTAGATTTTAAAAAAAAGTTTCAGCTATTGAACTAGCTAGTCCTTTTCAGTCGGATTTTTTTGAGTCTGGTAGATTTAATGCCAATCTTTTAGCAGATTTGATTGTTAATAGCTCTCTGGGAGCATCTTTCAGAGCTAACCATTTTTGCTTAGTTTCTTCTACCATTTGCTGAGAGGTTCAATTAGAGGCTTATATACTTTTTTAGCATCATTGTATAAATCTTGTTCCGCAAATTTTTCTTGTGTGAATAGTTTTCTAAGTCTCTCTTTAATTTTATCAAATCTTGTTTTGTTTTATATCAATTCACGTCATTTTATTAAGTAAAATATCTCAAACAACTTGAACCCAATGTCTGTTCATTTTGAACTCAATGTGTGTTCATTTTGAACTTAATGTGTGTTTAACTTAAGTTCAGTTCAACTTGATGTTAGTCCAGCTTCTGGAATATCAAGATGGGTCATCATATCCCTTCCATTTAACGAACAATTTCCCTTTATTTATTTTTTTTTTAAATTTTATCAATTTCATAAACATCGCTACTATATTTTGATAATTCTCCGTAAAAACTCCCTATTACTTCTTTACCGCTCATATCTTCCAGCCTATAAGTTACTGGTTTCGTCTCTAATAGTTTAGAGATGATAAATAACTCACGTGTGAAATTAGTGAGATATCCTTTAATAAAATTCTTACGTTTTCTACTAATTCAGACACTATCTCCAATCTTCAATTTAGTCTTTCTTACAACCGTCTTTATTTCGGGGAATAAATTTGCATAGACTATTTTAATGTTTTGTTCCATTGAAGTTTCACATGGAGTCATTTTTATTGATCTATGATGACTATTGTTATAATTATCAACTAAATCTGGTAAAATATCTACCCACTTTTTTGTCTTGGCGTACGTGAAATATTTCCACAGTTTTGTCTTGAGAGTTTGGTTGAATCTCTCAACAACTTGAGCTTTAGTTTCATTTTCAGTTGCAAACCATTGAATTTCAAACTTTAGGAATAACTATTGTGTTCGCTTGTTAATGAACTCTAGACCTTTGTCTGTTTGAATTTTTCAGGAAATTCGTTCAGTGAAAAGCTTTTGGAAAAAGGTTATAATCTCTTCACCAGTTTTTCTACGAATAGGAACTGCCCATGCATGTTTGCTAAAGATGTCAATCACAGTTAGGATGTGGTTTTTACCTTTATCTGTATACTTTTGCATGTCAACTAAATCTGACTGCCATTGATCATAGATCTTTGTTACTTTGACTTTTCTTGTGATGAAATTATATTTTATTGGTTGATGTAGATTGTAAAGTGTACGTTTCCTTTAACTCCAAATATAATTTCATCACAAGAAGAGTCAAAGTAACAAAGAGATCAATGGCAGTCAGATTTAGTTGACATGCAAAAGTATACAGATAAAGGTAAAAACAACATACTAACTGTCGTGAACCTAAGACTTGCTTTCGAGATAAACCACTCCTACGAACAAGTTCATTTGTCCCCACATAGCTGGTTTTAGGATCGTAAAATATTGTATTTAGAATTTTACTACTCACTTCTGTGAGTGGATTGCTACGTTTATAGATACTTTAAGACCTACATAACCTTTTCCAGCCATTATAGCATTACCTAACTTTGCATCAGTTCTAACATATTAAGGCTCATTAGGATCTACCGCAATTTCAGCCGCTTTCTTCGCTAGGATATCATCAGACTTGTTTCTGTCTTTAGTTTTTGAATGTGTACTACAAAATATATCATGCTCTCTACAAGCTCTATCCAATGAATTAACTCCCTTATAACCTTCATTCAGTCTTTTTTGCACCTTAGTGCCAGGACCACAGATGGAGTATGTATGCTTATTACCGAAAGAACTGTGGAGAACTTGCTCAGATTGAATGTTGAAGGTTAATTGTAAATGAATTTCTGGAAGTGGCTATTTCTCTGATATCGTATTAAAAATGCAACTCCCGATTTTTTCACTACGAAGAAATTATTTCAGCTGGTTCAAATATTCACAATTATCGATCGATAGTAGATCAGGATAGTTGATTAATGTTCTTTTATTGTAGACTATCATTTTTAATAGATTATTTTATAAACACTTTTATCAGCTTGCATTACAGTGGTTTAATGCTAGCGTATTTATACCGTCTGCTAATATACGTTTTTTATCATCGTCAACATTCACTGCAAGTTTATTAATTTCTCTCGTATGCAATTCATGATTATCATTCTCTATATTATACATTGTTTTGTATATAGTCTCATTATTTAGTGCTCTCATATATTCATCCATGGTATTTATTTAAATAATAATTTTCTTTATACCATTAGCTTTTTTAGTTACAGAACATTTTGTTCGATAACTATACATCTTTGCTCGAAGACCTACAAATTCTTTTATGTGAATGTCGCTAGTTTCATCTTTCATACCGATTACTTTTTTGTTCTGATTTGAATATATGAAATGATCCTATGGATAATTCGAAGTGTCAAATAAGTCTTGATTATCCCTCATATCTTCATAGAAGTAAGCGGTTTTTATGTTAATATCAAAATGAACCAAAACAA